GGGACAAAAGAATGAAATAGAGAAGGAAAGGAAGAAATTAAGAGTCGATAGGGAGAGATTAGAGAAGTTTAGCCGGGGAGGGAAGTCGTTCGAATGCGCGTGAAAGAGATGAAAGAAAGAAGGGGGAAATGCGAGAAAAAGAATTGGAAACATAAAAGAAGGAGAATAGAGTAAAGGTACGCAAGGGGAGGTGAAATAGAGCGGAAGTTTTTAAGAGAGAATTAAAACAAAAAGATAACAGAATAAAGAGAGAGGGAATATTGTGTGTAAGGAAATGGTAAGACGATAATTGGATAGTAAAGAAAGTGATGGGAAAGAAAGAAAGAAAGAAAGAAAGAAAGAAAGAAAGAAAGAAAGAAAGTGATGGGAAAGGAAGAAAGAGGTGAAAGGGGGAGAAAGAGGAAAAAGCGGAGAGAGGGGAAGCGGAAACGATAGAGAGAGAGAGAGAGGGGGCATAAGATACCGAAAGAAAAGAAAAGAAAAAAGAAGAAAACGAAAGCGAAGAAAAGAACAAAGAAAAATGCAGAAATGAGAGTGAAGAAGGAAGAAAGAAGAGGAAAGATTATAAAATCCAAATAAATCGAGGGAGCAAAGGCGGAAAAGCGTGAACAAAAGAGAAGGGGGAAAACAAGAAAAAAGAAAAGAAAATGCTAAGAGACAGATAGTGAGGAAAGCAGAGAGATAATGAATTTGAAAAGAAAAAAAAGATAGGCAAGCAAAAGGAAGAGAGAGAGAGAGAGAGAGAGAGAGAGAGAGAGAGATAGTACCTTCGTACTTTCTCTCTTTTCTCTTCTCTCTACTTCCCTTTCCTTTCTTTCTTTTTTGCTTTTCTAACAAGAGATAACAAAAGAATGCCAATATAGATAATAGGAAGTAGGAAGGTACGAGAAAGCGTGAGCGAGAGAAAGAGAAAGAGTAAGAGTTTGTGTGTGTGTGGGGGGGGAAGTAGCGGGAGAACAAAACAAAAACGGGCCATAAAAGAAATAAAGAGAAAATAATAAGAGTGAAAGAGAGAGAAGAGTAAAAATGAGAAAGTAAAATTAAATGAAGGAAACAAAAGCCGGACTTAAAAGAGAGGAGAAAAGAAAAGAAAGAGCAAAAACATTTTTACTGAGAGAAAGCGAAAACGAGACAAATAAAGCGGACGTGTTTCAGAGAGAAAAAAAGATATCTGATTGCATGTAGGTCACTTTCTTTCTCTCTATATATATGTCTATAAATAGAGAGACAGACTTAGAGAATGGACCATAGAGAAAAAAATGAGATAGATAGATAGCTAGATAGATACCTAGCTAGCTAGCTAGCTAGCTAGCTAGATAGATAGATAGATAGATAGATTTCACTCTTTGCAAGCCCTTGAATACTAGTGGTACTCTTCCCGGCTTGCTTGGGGTGAAATTCTTATATATAAAAAAAGAAGATTATCAATGTTTGGACGCAATGCCATAACTTGTTAGTTACTAAGATTATGTTGGCACAAGGCCTTAAACATGACTCGCTCAGTGAGGATTTTCCTGTACATATTTCTAACCATTATCTTAAAGCAAAGATCTCAATGATGTGTGTATGGTGAGTGGAGAGAGAGAGAGAGAGAGAGAGAGAGAGAGAGAGAGAGAGAGAGAGAGAGAGAATAGAAGCACAGATAGAGAAAGAAAGAAATAGGAAGAGAGAGAGAGAGAAAATAGAAGCAGGGATATAGAGAGAGAGGAAGAGAGAGAGAGAGAATAGAAGCACAGATAGAGAAAGAAAGAAATAGGAACAGAGAGAGAGAAAATAGAAGCAGGGATAGAGAGAGAGAGAGAGAGAGAGAGGAGGGGGGAATGCGCTGTTCACAAATAAAAAATAGTGACAATAGAAGTTTATCGGCATTGTCGAAGCCAATCAATGATGGTCTGATTGGGGCTTGACAGATTTTCCTTTATTGTTTGAGAAAGAACGAAGACAACGGAAGTAGAGAAGAACCAATAACAGTAGAAAGAGAAATCGGAAAAAAAGAAATAAGATCTTTATCTCATGTAATTACTTTGTAAAAATTATTACTTATTATCACAAGTGTAATATTTCAAATATCAGGGCGATGGGCAAGATGTTCAAGCGTATCGATCTGCAGCGTTTGCAACATTTATGCTCGACAAATTCTATATACGCAATAGGTACTAACACATTGGTTGGTTAGGTGTTTCTGTATTATAAGAAGTGTCATAAGGTAATGTCGAGTCCTTTGGGGCTTCATTAGACCAACATTTGTAGTAAGGTATTATTTGATCAATTCCTCTACAAGTAATATGAGTAAACGTATTAGATTACATGCAGACTTCCCAGTCAAGCACTGTGGCAGACGAGTGACGAGACAATTGTCAAGACCTTTGAGGATAAGATAAACTGCATGGTAAGGTTCTTAACTTTGCTTAAAGCAACCTTTTTGCTCAATGCATCCTTTTCACCATATGTCAGGATGTTATTCCCCGCTTTCCAAGATTGGCCGACTTAAAAAGCACATTTCAAATATTATGCATATATTATTGAAAATCTTCATTATTTTCTATATTAGTATATATACATTTAGATGGATAATTTATTGTCGGGTTACCTCCTCCTACTGTTTTGAAACCACTCCTAGGGGACGCTCTCCGAGCTCTGTGATAATTTTTTGTAGCCTCCTCTTTCTTTTTCCGCTTACATGTCAACATGTAAATCTCTCGCGGAGAACGCGTTCCCTTTAGAAAACGTATGAACAACACACACACACACACACGTACGTACGTACGTACGCACATTCACTACACATTCTTTAGACAAAAAAGGTTTCGTATTCATGTGATACACATGTCTTTGTCTTTGTCACTTGTATACCTTTGTTGTTAATACATTATCATTTGTTTGTACATATATATTGGTTTTTGTCGTATCTTTTCTTTTCTTTAATCTTTACTCACATCCCGAAACATTCAGAATGATGCCATTTTATTTTATGCCAATATATATATATATATATATATATATATATATAGAGAGAGAGAGAGAGATGATAACATTATAGTTTTAAGGAATGCTATATTTATGGATAAAAGTGCTCAGAGGTAGAGCGTATGTAAATAAAAAAGTGGGCACTGAGGTCAACACTAAGCGGCGACAGTTTGTTTATTCTTGAATGCAATCTTCAGTCACTTTCATGCTTGAATGCAATCTTCAGGCCTGAATGCAATCTTCCATCCTAAAATGACTGTTACAATGAATAGGTGTATATGGTCCCAATAATGTTGAGCTAGGTGATACGCAAGAAAGTACTGTTCCCTTGAATGCCATGTCCCATTTATTTCTAGCAGAACGTTACCCATACAATCACAATGCATCCACAGGCTTGTTGATTCTCGACAATCCATCCTGGTGCCATAGTTCCCCCAGGATAATTTACATTGTCGTCAAATTAATCAGGAGAAATAAAGATACCACAGTTCAGGCGAACTTCTTCCATTGATAAAAGGTTAAATTCTGACGCTTGCGTGACACTGGTTATAATACATAGTCTGAATGACCAGCAGCCTCCTACGTAAGGTCGGGTTTAGTATTTGTTGCGACATATTTTTTTCATCAACTTGATTAAATATCTCTCTCTCTGTTTTTGTGTGTGATGTGTTATTCAGAATTTCGGGTAAGCTAAACAAATCTGTTCACCTGTCAAATTACTCATCGTTTCCGTGTCTCGCCAGATATTTCTAATTCACGCTTAATCTCACGTTTAACTAACTTTTTCTTTTACTTTTTATTATCTAACGGTTTAAGTTCTCCAAACGTTTCAACAGTATTGGGGATGCAGTTTCGAATCCTGCCAGAGGACGTATTATTTTGAATAAAATTTATCGAATGTTTAGGTCGGTTGACGAAACTTTAAAATAAACGGAGCATCGACTCAAATATTTGCGGTATCCACTAAAAATAACGTGTAAAAATCATTTAAACATACACGGAAACCTACCAAAATCCATCTGCAACATAATTATACTAGTAGAAAATATATAATAGCATCATCCATATTTAAAAACGATTAAAAATATTGGAAGCACGAATAATAAAAAGGGAAAGCAAACACTCAATAACATTAACTATGAACATGGCAACAATGTGCTGACCGTGTTTGAAAAATAAAACATTCTTATAATTATAGAGACATGCATAAAAACAACACTTTAGTTAAAAAAATGTCTTTAATAATGGTTAAATAAATAGCCGAAAGCGCTCGGATATGCAGAATTTTGGAGAGTTTTTTTTTACACACTTTGTGTCCAGAAAAGAAAACAATTGTAGGAACACAAGAAAAATTAAATAAAAATCTTAATTTTAGTACCTTGTCAGTCGTCTTTAACAACACTTTTATAAAGATGGATTGCTGTTAAATACACTTATTGTTCACTCCAAGCAAGGCAGTAAAGCTACTTGAACAAAAGGGGTTACTGGGTGTAAAAAACTTTGCTAAGAAGCAAGAACAAAAAGAGTAATCAGGAAGACTGGGTTCTATAGCCTTGGATAGCAACTGGTCTAGGAGAATTCAAAACCTGCGTAGGGTCGTTTAGTGATTGGTGCTGCACAAACCCTTCACCACTATAATCAAATCATATGTGATGGTGTCTGGCTGTCGGTTCCTAGGAACTGCGCTCCCGGTACACACACACACACACACACACACACACACACACACACACGCGCACACACACACACACACACACACACACGTGTGTGTGTGTATCGGGTGTAACAGCAAAATTGTTCAATTGTGTAAAGCAAAATTGTTCATTTCTTCGATTAAGCTTTGAAACGTTGTATCTTAGAAATGATTAAATATATCTTACTTGGATTCTCCGAGGTTTTTATAACACTGTTGGACTCTACTTTGAGCAATAAGCATATATAATTATTCTCCAAGCTTAACCGAAGAATCGTGATGAAATCAATCATTATTAATTAATCATAGGTAAGGATTGAAAGCTCATTTGGACTGTGTGACTGCGTGGCGTGTATTTTGTGACTGGCTGAAATTAAGTAGACAGCCTGCCGGGACGTGAAATTCTGTTGTTTTCGCTATTACATTACGGAGTAAAAAAAGAAAAAAAAAAGAGTGTTAATGTTCATTGCTTTTTATAGTCACCCCTAAACGA